GGCCACAGAGATCGGGATATGGGAATCGTATCCTTGGGGGCAGGTCCCGAAACCCTTACGGATCCGCTTCTTGTTTAGTGGAATTATGGCTCTGCACTTTTCTTAGACATACATTTTTACCGCTTCTTGTTTAGTGGTATGATGAGCTGCACACTTTCATTGTACCGACATATTCTATTATGTGAGTATTTCCTTTTTTTTTTTTAAAAAAAAGGGATGATCGGTTCCGGGTGTATATCTTCGGACCGTGAGTACCTTTATTTTAAATGCTTTATAAAAATTATATCCTACTGGGCCTTTCGCTCACCTTTTCCTGTTTTCAAATGTATTAAACCCCTCCAGGCGTTGCGAGGAGTAGTGCGGAGCATGTAGCTACTACCGGTGACGTGGACTTGTTTCAGGAAAGCGAAGAGTTGTATTTCCTCTTATCTTTTATTTCAAGGCATGTATAAGAGATTATGGATTGTAAACTTAAATATTACTAGACTGTGGTTGATGTCATATTTACTTTTGTTTATGTTCATGTATGCTAAACACCTGTGGGAATTCCTGACATGATACCAGGGACGTGATTTTAGACTGGTTTGGTTGGAAATTCCACCACCGTTCTTGAAATTAAATTTCTCTTGAATGCAGGGGCTCGTTTGGAAATACCTGGATGTTTTGGATTTGAAAGAAATTAAATTATTTTGCTAATCTCTCTCTCTCAAACAGGTTTAAGTTTCTAAACAAGCCTCCACATCACTAACCCCGGTTTAGGGGCGTGACAAGTTATCAGCCCCAAATTTACTAAGTCCGACTCTCCCCAACAGTTAAATACCATTTTCAACTAGAGAACTCAGAAGCCAAGCAAATTGCTAAGTGATTTAGCCATTTCTAAGTACCAATTAGCAAGGAAACTTAAATTGGGCTAAGGTAAGCCACTATTTTGACATTTAGTACTGTTCAAGTCTGTTCAGGGGGTTTTCCTTTCAAGTCGACTATGAGATTTTAACCACATGGTGTCACGACTCCAAAGATGGGACCGTGATTATTGAGATTTAATTAAAGAAAATTAACTTAATTAACTGAGAAAAATACATATTCACAAAGTAGATATTAAAATATATTGTTCCGGAATCTTTCTTTTACAAATAATATTTAAATCAGTCCATAAAATCTAAGAAAAATAATACAAGTCTGGGACAATATCGACCAATATAGTTTATATACAGAAATAGAGTACATCTCAGAATTAAAAACTGTAAATTCAAAACAAACGAACCACTTCGAATCTCGTGCCTTCAATCCATTGGCATCCACTTGCCGTGCTGTAAATTTAACCCGCTAACTCTAGAGGGGGGTTAAAACATTGAAAACAGAAGAAAAATGAGCGGAATGCTCAGTAAGATATATTTTAGAAAACTTTATAAATAAATAAAAATGCATAGTCCCAACACATAAGCCAGAACTAAACATCAGCAAGTAATTTATAGCTATGATAAATTACTTACAACCAATAGCAAGGCCATAATCCACTGTAGTGACCCGTCCGGGTTTCGAGTCCTGCCCCTAAGGATATGATCTCCATATCTTAATTTCTAGGCCATCAGCGGGCTTACCAGTTCGCAAAATATCTTATCTTAAAAAAAATATCTACTAAAACTTTAAATCAGTTCATTATGAGTTTAATAGCAATAATCATACTATTGTCTTAAACTACTTTTCTTTATCAACACGTTTTATCTTTAAAAACATTTACATAGGCCAAAACACTTTAAAACAGGCTAACAAAGATATAGACAAAAATATCATACCTCTTGACAATTTAGTCCACGGATAACTTCACGTTGTCCAACCGTCTATTTTTGAAGCTCCACGTCCGATCGTGCCGCTAGCTTTGTAATCAAAATAATGTTTTAAAACTTAGTTCTCACCTCTAGAATAATTCTAATTCCATTATGTTCAATTGCTTCTTATTAGTGTGCTTTTAACTCAAATCCAAAATTTGTAACCAATTTTCATAATAAATTCTCAAGAAATCACTAAAATTAATTTCTAAATACCTTAACAAGTTTAATAATTGAAAATCCCTAAATTTAATCTAAGTTTAACCATAATTTATTCAAATCTAACTAGTCTAACCAAAATTATAATTTTTTAAGTTAAAAATTTAAATTAAAAAGTGAGTTTTAAGAGATTTTACTTTAAATTAGTTGATAGAGCCGTTTTCTCTCTTTTCTCTTTTTTTTTTTTTTTTTTTTTTTTTTTTTTTTTTATTCTTCCTGCTTCGGCACGAACGCAAAAGAAAAGAGAGAGAGAAAGGGAAAATGAGAGATAGTGAGAGTAAGGGAGAGAGAGAAGCCAACGATGAGAGAGAAAAATGGAAAAAAGAAAGAGAGAGAGACCGGTGGTGAAGGAAGCAGAGGAGAGAGAAAATGGAAAGAAAGAAATAGAAGAGAGAGAGAGAGTGGCGTGGAAGCTGCGGGAAGGAAGGGGAAAAAGAAAAGAAAAGAAAATAGAAGAGAAGAGAGAAAAGGAAAAAAAAAAGGAAAGAAAAAGAAAAAAAAAGGAAAAAATATATTAAGTTAGATATTTTAGAGGTTAAAATTAGGAGTTTAAAGTTTTTTTTAGGTTTTTTTTGTTTTTTTATATTTTTATTTAAGGATATTTTAGGTATTTTTAAGGTTAAAATTAAAAATTAATTGTGAAAAAATATAAATTTTAGTATTAAATTTATTTTAAAGATAAATATTTAATGAGATTAAAAAATTAAAAGTATAGTTTAAATAAACAAAAAACATAAGGTATAAATAGGTAAATATTTTTTTTTCGTTGCTAGGGAAAAAACATGACACAATGGATACGTTTAGAATTAGTTTTAAAATGATTTTATTTGTTATAAAAAGTAAAAATGTGATTATTTTTAGAATCATTTTAGGACTAATTCTGAAATTGCGTTTAATTAATTTTTTAAAAGATTATTTTGAGTATAATAAAAAAATAAAATCATATTTATTAATTAATATATTATAATATTATTAAAAAGTACTAAAAAATAAAAATAAAAAATAAAAAAACCTTTAACTATTTTCTAATTCTTTCACAAAAATTATTCTCATTATTTTTTATTTTTATTTTTATTTTTAAAATATTTACTAAATAAATTCCTTTCTATTTTTTATTTTTATTTTTTACTTCTCGAAACACGTGTTTCCAAACACGCACAATATCATTGCTCCTCAGACTCGTGTGTAATTTCTATCAAAAAAATAATAATAAAAGTCACTGTGTAAAGAAACAACCTATCAATGGCTTGGATTCCACGTAAGGCGGGCCCGAGAAAAGGTCACCTCTCTCGACGAAGTTTCGCGCGCCACATGAGGCCAACGGCGGATCAATAATCATCTTACACGGACGCCTCCATTTATTTATTTATTTTTCCTTTTTTTAGCTCATAAAAAGAAACAAACATTTTGACTATTTATTCAAAAAAAAAAAAATCTCTTCAAAATAATTCTTTATTGTATTTTTATGTCTAAAAAAAAAGTGCAAAATTCTCACATGACATATTCTTAGACTACAGATTATAAAGTACCATTTCAATGTTATTTAAGGGAAATACATGTTACCGTGATGATAGTAAAAACCTAAAAAAGAAATTATTTTCTAAAATTTATTTGTTTGTTATATTTTTTGGGTCCTGATTATAATATTGGTTATCTACTTGTTAGAGTCATTTTTCACATTATAGTTTTTTACAATATTGTACTTTGAGTCCTGAAAAGGCGAATAGAAATGTGACCCAATTTACAATCTGTAATTTGGTAACTAATGACAATAAAATGAACAACACTTCAGCTAAAAAATATGAAAAATGAAACAATAATAAAAGTACATACATGTGTTTGTTGGAGTCTTAATTACAAGTCAAAAATATAACTTTTTTAAAAAAAAAATTGTTCGATGGAACTTCCAGATACAAAATTTACTAAATAAAATAATTTTCTAATAACATGAAAATACAAGGTATAAAAATTAAAAGAAATGAGTACATCAAGAAAAATGTAAAAAAAAAAAAAAAATTACAATTAACGGTTTAAGAACAAAACCATCAATAAATTATTTTTTCATATCTCAACAAAAATTTGCTTCTTCTAGTTACAATGATCTAATTAAAATAGGATAAATCAATGACATCCGTACACCTAACTATGAAAAAAGAGAACTTTTATTGAAATAAATATGAAAACTTTTACTGGTAATTTAAATATATCTTAAAAAAGTTCAATTGCTTGGCTTGAAGCCATCTAGTCTAGTTTTTTAAAATTGATGAAATTAAATGTACAGAACAACAATCTTACATTGCAATAACATGAAAATATATTGTAAAAGCGTTTTGTAATGCAATGTTAAATTAATATATCAATATAAAAATTTAAAATCTGAATAGAAAAATCACCCTATAATACAATGTTAAATTTAAGGTATAATGATGTTAAATTTGACACAAATATATGTCAAATTTTAATGTTGGGTATTTGTTTACGTATTTTTTTATTTAAAAATTATAATTTCTAAATTATTTAAAAGTTACAAAACCTACTCTTACAAATTTCAAAACTTTCCAACAAAAAGGCGACTATAGCATTTAAATAACATTATTTATCATAGCATTGTTTTCATAATAATGTTTTGAAAACTCGTCCATAAGTGTTGCTTGTACGGCATATACATATATACGTATATATAAAATCAATTGGGTAGTTGGATTTGATTAGCAAAGAAAAAAAAAAAAAAAGGTAGTTGGATTGGATTTACATCTTCTTCTCGTATTTGGAGTAGGACACCCACTAATTATCATTTTCTTTTTTGATTAGCAAAATATATATATATTATTTTATTTTTCGGAAAAAATCAAGAGTTTGTTATTATTTTTTAATTTAAGCGGAGTGAAGTTTCGGAGTTTGTTTGAGCCTCTCAAGGCTCGCATTGCACTCAACTCTCACTGTCCCTTGCTGTGCCAACCATTAACTCGGCATTTTCTTTAGCTCTCCGTGCCAACCATTAACTCAGCATTTTCTTTAGCTCTCTCTCTCTCTCTCTCTCTCTCTCTCTAAATCCCAACAAACTGAGATATGCTCTGACGGCCATTGACGGACTAACAGAGCTCGAACTTGAACTCAAAGCCGAAGCCGCCATGGCCGATAATGCCGAGCATGAGCAAACGCAAGAACAGGAGTACGACCGCGACCGCGAATTCCTCACTGTCCCTCTCCTCTCCTCCCACAGATCGAACCCAAACTCGACCTCGCAGGTCGCCATCGTTGGCTCTCATGTCTGCCCTATCGAGAGCCTCGATTACGAGTACGTTTGATTGATTGATCAAACAAAATTTTCGTTGCTTTTCTCGGAGGCTCTATGAGCTTTTTCGGAATTTGAGGAATTGAGGAGAGGTGTTTTTGTTTTCTCTGATTTTTCGCAGGATTTTTGAGAACGAATTCTTCAAGCAGGATTGGAGGAGCCGTCGAAAGACTGAGATATTCCAGTACATATTCATGAAGTGGCTCACTTGCTTCCTCATCGGACTGATCGTCAGTCTCATCGGATTTTGCAATAATCTTGCCGTCGAGAATCTCGCCGGCGTCAAGTTCGTTTTCACCTCCAACATGATGTTGCAGCAGAGGTATCCCAATTTCCCATACTCTCCTAATCTGGACTTCTGGGCAAATCTTTCTTACTATTGCACAGAATAATACCATGGGCCTGCAATCATGTTCTACCATAAATAAAGCACTCGGCTATCTCTTTTTTTTTTTCTTTTCTTTTTCTCAAGCGGATTGTTTTTTTTGTCCTCTTGTTTGTTTCCCGGGAAAAATTAGCTTGCTTTCATAAGGAAAACGAAAAAAAAAAATGAATTTTTATGTTTTTACTGATTTGGTCCTCGTTTTGTGATGTTTTTGCACAGGTATGCAACGGCTTTTTTCGTGTTTTTTACTTCGAATTTGGTGCTCACTCTGTTCGCGTCTATGATCACGGCGCTTATTGCACCGGCGGCTGCTGGATCGGGTATACCGGAGGTGAAGGCTTACCTGAATGGCGTCGACGCTCCGGGAATTTTTTCCTTTAGGACTTTGGCTGTTAAGGTATTGATTTGGGAATTTGTGTGTCTCAAAAGCTTTTTGTTTTTATGCTAACTCTCACCGGTAATGATCATCATGGCTTCAATTTCAACAAATCAGAGAGTCGCCTCTAAGCGCCGTGCATGGTCCCCTCCGTTGTTTTGATTTAGGGATTGTTGATGAAAACGTGGGATAAGGATTGCTAGTACTGATGATTACCATTAAATAGCAATGCTCAATAAAAGTGTCTTGGAGAGTACTTGGACTGATTTGAATAATTAAATGTAGTATCATACTTGGAATTGCTCATAGCTTGGAAAAATCCGTCATGATCCAGTCAAATAATGTGTTTTCTAGTCCTTAGAAGTCATTTTCATTCATGTATGAAGCGATGGATTGAAATGTGAATGTATGCTTATAATTTCCTGGGACTTGTCGCTTTCACTCATTTGGGTTCATGTTTTTCTGGACGTGCAGATTTTTGGCAGCGTGACAGCAGTGTCATCATCTCTGCTTGTGGGGAAGGCAGGGCCCATGGTACACACTGGTGCGTGCATTGCGTCATTACTAGGCCAGGGAGGTTCGAAAAAATATGGTTTAACATGGAAATGGCTGCGATTTTTCAAGAATGATCGGGACAGGCGTGATCTTGTGACATGCGGTGACGCTGCTGGAATTGCTGCCTCTTTCCGCTCCCCTGTTGGTGGTGTGCTGTTTGCTTTTGAAGAGATGGCGTCCTGGTATAGCACCCTCCCTAGTTGAATATTCTTTTTGGGTCTTTGATCCTCATGTTTGTATCTCCATTTTGAAACTTTAGGTGACCATCATTTCTACACTCATCTCTTTCTTACCAACTTCAGAAATTTTTTCCTTCATGGTTTATATTGGTTACTAGGGATCCCTTTTTAGACCATCTTACATTTAACAAATGTCTTTTAGGTTTTCCATCTTTTGTTCCCTAATTGATACTGCTCTTTCTTGCTTTATTTATCTTTTATTTGCTAATGATAGCTCTATGTTAACAGACCCAATAATTAACATATTTATCTTTTATTAATATCTACAATTTGTTATGTAGGTGGAGAAGTGCCCTTCTATGGAGAGCTTTCTTTACAACAGCTGTAGTTGCAATTGTGCTCCGGGCTCTCATTGATGTTTGCTTAAGTGGCAAATGTGGGCTATTTGGTACCGGGGGGCTGATAATGTTTGATGTTTATTCAGCAAACATTTCATATCACCTTATGGATGTTCCTCCTGTGCTCCTCCTTGGTGTTGTAGGGGGCATATTGGGAGGGATATATAATTTTCTCTTGGATAAAGTTCTTAGATTGTACAATCTTATCAGTGAGTAAGTATCATCTTTAGCTATGTCATGTTGCGAAAGATGCATTTCATGGGTATAGAGAGTAGAATTTTTTTTTGCTGAGCTCAATTTTCCTTCATATTTCCCTTTCTCAGGAAAGGCGTCGTTTACCGAATCCTTCTTGCTTGTTCAATCTCCATTTTTACGTCTTGTCTTCTCTTTGGATTACCATGGCTTGCATCTTGCCAACCTTGCCCATTTGGTGCATTAGAAGCCTGTCCAACAATAGGCCGGTCCGGTAACTACAAGAAGTTTCAATGCCCTCCTGGTCACTATAATGATCTGGCTAGTCTCATATTTAATACAAATGATGATGCTATCAGGAATATGTTCAGCAAGGGCACCGATTCTGAGTTTCAGCATTCGTCAGTTCTCATTTTCTTTTTCACCTGCTTTTTCCTAAGCATCTTTAGCTATGGGATCTGCGCTCCTGCTGGTCTTTTTGTACCTGTTATAGTGACTGGTGCGTCATATGGACGTTTAATGGGCATGTTACTTGGTTCACACTCAGATCTTAACCATGGCCTCTATGCTGTGTTGGGTGCTGCTGCTTTCCTTGGTGGATCTATGAGGATGACTGTTTCCCTGTGTGTGATTATTCTGGAGTTGACCAATAACCTGTTATTGCTACCCTTGATAATGCTGGTTCTTCTCGTCTCCAAGACTGTAGCAGATGTTTTCAATGGAAACATTTATGATCTAATCATGAAATTAAAAGGATTTCCTTATCTTGAGGCTCATGCTGAACCATATATGAGGCAGTTGATGGTAGGTGATGTAGTAACAGGCCCGCTTCAGATGTTCCATGGTATTGAGAAGGTTGGTAACATAGTACATGTCCTGAGAAGCACGACGCACAATGGGTTTCCTGTAATTGATGAGCCTCCATTGTCTGAATCCCCAGTTTTGTTCGGCATAATCCTCCGTGTCCATCTGATTACATTATTGAAAAAGAAATCTTTTCTGCCCACCCCTGTACAGACAGGTGGTGATGCCTTCAAGCAGTTTTCATCAGGGGATTTCGCAAAGAGGGGTTCAGGCAGTGATGAAAAGCTAGAAGATGCAGAATTCACTGATGAGGAGTTGGAGATGTTTGTAGATTTGCATCCATTTACTAACGCATCGCCTTATACTGTGGTGGAGACAATGTCCCTAGCAAAGGCTCTCATACTCTTCCGAGAAGTTGGTTTAAGGCATCTGCTGGTCATACCAAAGGTCTCGTGTGTAGGTGGCCTTATCCTCACCATCTTTATTTGCGGCCATTACTAGAAGATTAGGCAATCTAAGAAATTAAATTCTACAGAACACTTTTCTTGAACACTTTATGGACTGCAATTCATTTCTTGAGTTTTCTTTTTAACTCTTTGTCCATAGCTTAAGAGTTCGTCATTGACACAGAAAGTCCAGTTTTGGTTGATAGGATAGAGTTTTGTAACCTGGGCTCAGCTATATGATCCTTTCAGCTATATGATCATGCACCTATTTTTCTCATACTATTCTTCTATATTAGTACTCTCTTTCCGATGTGTTTATCTACTAACTGCAAACAATTACCATGTTGCTGATTTGCAGAGATCTCCGGTGGCGGGAATACTGACTAGGCACGATTTTATGCCGGAACACATACTCGGCTTGTATCCTTTGTTAGTAAGGAGCAGATGGAAGAGATTAAGAATCCATTTCCCGAGCCTATTTAAAATCTTTTAACGCATCTCGCCCTAGGATGTTGCTTGCCCTTGAAGATGTACATAGTATTTTAACTGCCCCACAGCCACAGGATTCATGAGGAGTACAATAGCTCCACTTTCCCAGCTATTCAAGGAGCCAAGAGACGAAGAGGGCCAGAAAAGGGTAGTCATAATTTTAATACCTAATTATATTATCTTACATGACATGATGCGATGAGGTAAAATATTGTTGTATGGTGAACCATAACAAACCATTCTTGCTCTACTGCAGCAAATTGCTGTACGAAATAATAGATCAATACACTAATTTGGGTTTTTTTTTTCCTTCTGTTTTTTCCCCGAGAAAAAAGTGTCCCTTGAATTAGCGTTGAACACTTATGCTTTGTCTATTTTAAAATTTACTTTTTGGCCTTGTTTGACAGGAGGGAAAAAGGGAAAAATTGAGTAAGAATATAGGTGTTGGATGATTAGTGAATAAATTTTGACTTAGTTCCGTTCATTTCACCGATTCAAGTTTAGAATTTAAGTTTTGTTACAGTAAAAAGCTCTCAGAAACAGTCACACTTAATTTTTTTATTACAGTAAAAAGCTCTCACATAAAATTACATATCAACTCGAATTAAAAACTCGAATCAACGAACTAAACATGTCCTTAACGTGTTTGGTAGGAGGAACTCGAGGAGATAATAGATTGTGAGAGGGATTCAAAATCCTCGACAAGACCCCATTTTTGATCTTAACAAAGTTGGATGTTAGAAAAAAGGACCCTGATAAGACTAGCCTTTAGTTAAGCAAGTCTTTGTTAGGAAGGGTAAGAGGGTGTAGGTGGAATTGTTAGTAGCTGATTAGTGGGGAGTTTTGGTTAGGCAGTTTTAGCAAGTTGAGTTTAGTAGGAGTCAGGAGAAGTTAGTTAGTGGGGAGGAAAAGAATAGAGGAGGGGATCTTGGGGAAGGAGATTCGGGTAGACTTGTAGGAAGCTGGGCAGAAAAGCCAGCTGTGGAGGTTGCAGCCCCTCGAAGAGCTGCGATTGTGTACTTGCTTTCATTCAATAATACGATCGATTCTTTCTTGATCTCAATTTTCTTATTTCTTCGAAAAACTGTCCTAGATTCTATCAAACCCATACTGAACATAAGAGAAAGGTCGTCTCTCTTTATTGTCGGTTTTTCTTACCTACATTGTACACCTTTCATTGCTATTTTTCCCCTTACAAGACACAGCCTTAGGTGTCCAGTAAATATGGATACACCTTTCTCTTCATTTTCCTGGTCATGTATTGAAATACTAATTAGTGTTACTTTACATTTTAGTCCATTAGTCAAACAATTAATGCCCGTAAAATGAACATTCGTGAGCGTACTAATATTGTCAGGTAAATGCATCACCAGAAATTTATTATGTTGTGTGATCGAGTTAAGTGGTTTCTCAAGAGCTAACTCGTTCAAGAGTGTTAAGGCCCTGTCAAATAACTGATTGGTAGAGTAGAGGTTAGGGGTTAGTAGTTTTTAGTGAGAATTAGTAGTATAAATACGGTGGTTAGTAGCTTATGAGGTGATGGTCAGATTATTTAGATTTTTGGGAAGACCCTTGGGACAATTATGGTCTCTCGAATACCATGATTGTTAGGGAGGATTATCATTGATGTTCAAATCTCACACAGCACTACATGCGGTAGCGCACAATGATCAGACTCTTCAGTTTCATTTCTCCTGGTCGGGATAGTCCTCGTCGGGTCCCACCACCTGGCCTGTCTTGCACCAAGAACGCCTTGGAGTGAGGGGACATGATTAGGTGTTTTTCAAGGGCACTCTGGGGCTCAAATCAGCATACTGATAGGGAGCAATAAATAGAGACAGTTTTGGGTGGAGAATTTGTCCTCGCCTCAATAAATACATGTGGTAGTATTTATAGTTTCTGTTGGATTTGGGTAACAATTGAGGATATGTTAATGGAGGGCGAGGATGACTCTAGGATCAGGTGGGTCAAGTGATTACCCTTATGATAGGTCCGGCAAAGAACGGCCGGAAGCATCCCGTCAGAACATGTTCGGAAAATGTCCAGTTCTCACAGAGATGACACGGTAGCCATCACTGCTCTGCTTGGCAGGTACAATGTTCGGCTAACATGGCTGATCAGCGGTGTGAAAGGATGGTCAGCAAGTTTGTCCGACCAGACCCTCAACAATCAGTTTACTTAAAAAAGTTTTATTATTATTATTATTATTATTATTTTTCATCAGTCTGTTAGAAATAGTTAGGTTCCTGTTAATTAAGAGCTACTTCTCTTGCGACAATTTCATTTTTCTTGACACGTTCCTCGTGATTTTATTGACAAATTGAGAATAGGTACCTAAAAATGTTCAAAGAAAACAAGAATGAAGCTTTGGAAGAAAAGATACCAAAAAGTAAACTAGTTGTTCAAAGCCAAACTCATTCTTTACAGGGCGCCAAAAAGAAAATAAAAAGAAAAAAAAAAAAAAAAACTACTGATTTTTCCCTTCCCAAAAGAAGAAAAGTTGAACCAAACACATACTTTGATAATTTCATCACACCCTTCTCAGAGACCTAACATAGTCTGCCCTTATTGCCCACAGCTGCTCTCCCACTAATTTCATGTCAGGCCTTTTGGATCGAATTGGTGCTGCACATTCAAAGGCCAAATTGAATATTTTGTTAAGTATTTCTGCATTTACAACTTCCTGCATCAAAGGATCAACCAATTCAACTACACGTCCATCATTGTATCTCTCGAAAGCCTGCATACAAAGAGAACCCCATCAAATTAAAGCACTTGGAAGTAAGCTAATAGAGGAAGGTATTACTTATTTATTTATTTGTTTATTTTTTGTTTTGTTTTTGAAAGGAATGAAATGTATTATTAAGCAACTGAAATAACTATAAGTCTGACATCAATATTGGAGCTCATTGGAATCATTACTTTGTACTTTCCAACAGAGTCTTGGAGCCCACATGAATATTCCGAAATGCCTTAACGCTTAGCATTTTAGTTTCCATGTGACTGAAATATGGAATTGTTTATTAAAGTATTTAAATAAACATACCTCAAAAAAGAGGCAATATTATAATAAGATATCACGAAAACTTATAGCAAGGGAAACCCAAAAGAACACTGTTAACACAAAGCCAAAGAGACTCGGGAGTCGAAAACCACCAAATTTTCGTTGCAAACTTCCAATTTTTTGCAATGACTTGTCATAGGAAAAAAAAAAGAACTAAGTGCCTAACTTCCTCCGAATCACTTTCAGTAATCATCGCAGCTGCCTCAGCAAAATCAATGTGAGAAGTTTTGGTCACACAAGTTAAGTGGGAGTTGACTTCCACAAACGGTAAAATGAGTCTAGAAATGATTCTCTTTTTAAAAAAAAAAAAAAAAAAAAAGAAAGTCAAGTTGGGGACAAGGTTGACTCTTTGAACAAACTTTGGCTAGAATTGACAGCTGTACTTCACAACCTAAACGTGTAGATTGAGAAAAATAACTCCAATCAGCTTATCCTAGTCTAAGTTATCTGTATACTGCAAACTGCACATGATAATCTAATTATGAAGTGCGTGTACAAAGATTTTCTATTGTTTATAATCTACATAAAAAATGTTTTTCAACAGAAAATGCTCAGGTTCTATGATTACCACATAATCAAGAACTTGTTTGTTAAGAAACAAAAAACTTACCCATCTGACTGTCACCCGCTCTTCAACAGGTCGTCTTAATTCCACAGGACGACGACCTGTCATAATTTCCATAAGCAAAATTCCGAAGGAGTAGACATCACTCTTGGCAGTGAGTTGATAGGTCTTCATATACTCGGGGTCTAGGTAACCCACTGTTCCTTTAACTTTGGTAGAAATGTGTGTTTCATCGGACTCCATTGGACCAAGCTTTGCAAATCCGAAATCAGCAACCTTGGCTCTCATGCTTTCAGTCAGAAGAATGTTGGATGATTTCACATCTCGATGGATGATTGGTTTCTCTGTTGTGAGATGAACAGAAGACCAGGGATCAAGAGTTATAGTTTCAACAAACTCAACTTGTAAATGTAAGAAAGTATGTGCATACATGAACAATATCATTTCACTTTGGAAAGATTCAAGATGGATGAGATTATTAAACATAAGCTAACGCATAACCTCATTGGTGGTTTTGTGGCAGTAGAGACTGTCTATACAAGATAAAATTGTCAATCCAACACTAATCCTGTCTGTTGATTTTGTTCCCACACTGCCTAATGCAGGGAGGGACTTTCAGGACCAAACTAGTTCATAAACAAACTTTTATCCTAACAAATTAGGACAATGGCGTAATTTAAACTTCTGCTGTAAGGGCATTCTATTAAGTCTACTTGGGTTTCTAAGAATATGAAGAAAAGGTCCACAAGAAACAAAACAGGAATAGTTCTGATTACATCCAGCTGGTTTTTATGTATGTATGTATGTATGAATATTTACCTGCATATAGATGGAGATAAGTTAGGCCATGAGCAACATCAATGGCAATTTCAAGTCGCTGATTAAAATCCAGAATTTTCCCACGTTGACCTGGCAGCAAAAGCAGCAAAATAATTTAGCCATGTGTTATCATCTGTTTACAATTTCTTAACTAGTTCTCGTGGTGAAGTGAGCTTACCATCTAAGTGTTCCCTAAGAGTACCGTTAGGCACATACTCTGTTATGACGAGACGTTCATTTCCTTGGTCAATAAAACCTAGTAACTTCACTAGATTCCGATGATCAATTTTGGCCAGAAGCTCAACTTCACTGCTAAATTCATTTCTGAGATTCTCAAAGTGCTCCTACAACAAGATTCCATGTCAATGGTAAGGCAATACACAACGATGGATGCCTTTTTTAAACAAGCCTGTCCTTTGATCAATCTCATTAAGTGATCATTAGGTCAATTGAACAAAAGATAAAAACTTAGCCTAATGGTTTGAATTCATTTTCTTTTTTCTTTCTTCTTTCGTCACTTTTGATCAGATTAAAATTGTTATAGTCCTATACTTGCAAGTTTCTTCTTAACTCTAGTTCTCCTACTAGCATTGTAAGAAATAACTTGAAAATTTTCAGACAGGATTACTGATCAATATTCTCCTTCCTCGCCTAAACATTGTACTTGACAGCTTTAGTTTGTAAGTTTTCAACATTTTTCTTGGCTTTTTAACATACATTCAAATTTAAGAGCATACA